CTATTGAGCTCATGGGCATGAAGAACAGACAAAATTTATACTTGGCTGACATTGAAGACCAATGCATATTAGGCTTGGACTGCTTACTACAGAAGAAGTTTGTAATTAATTTGATAAATGACGTTTGGGAACAACAAAGGCCAAGTTCCGGTAACTGTTAAAAGAGAGGTTGAACTAACTCGGTGCCATCAAGCTGAAGTCAAAGTGACTGAAGGAGTTGATGATGGTGAAATGAAACTAGGTATAGATATTAAAGCAGAGCAGGAGAAAGATCAAGATTTGAAGCCAATAATTGATTTTCTAAAAGCAAATGTTTTGCGCCCTGCTTGGGAGAAGGTGTCTAGTCTAAGGCCTGTGACAAAGAACTATTGGTCACAATGGGACCGTTGAAGCTTGAAGATGGTATTCTTCTCCGGAGATGGGGAACTGCAGATGGGAAAGTGACGACCTGGCAAATGGTTATACCCGAGAAAGTTATGGGAAGTTTTGTTGCGTCAATCCCATGATAGTTTAACATGAGGACATCTCGGAGTTAAGAAGACATTGAGTCACCTACGACAGAGACTTTACTGGATAGGTATGAGGCAAGATGTGGAAGAATGGTGCAGGACATGCAGTACATGTTGTGCTAAAAGGAGACCCAAGCATAAGGGACATGCTCCAATGAAGTTATATCAAGTTGGTGCACCAATGGAAAGAGTAGCCATCGACATTGCCGGTCCTATGCCCCAAACTCGTGCTGGAAACAAGTACATTTGTGTGGTGATGGATTATTTCACCAAGTGGCCAGAGGCATATGCAATACCAAATCAGGAAGCTACAACTGTAGCTTCGGCTATTAGTGACTTTTTCTTCAGATTTGGTATGTCATATGAATTGCATTCAGATCAAGGCCGTAACTTTGAATCAGCTGTGTTCCAAGAATGCTGGAAGTTGTTTGGCATCCGAAAGACCAGGACAACGCCACTTCACCCACAGTCTGATGGGATGGTAGAAAAGTACAATTGGACATTGGGACAGGAATTGGCAAAGTTTTGTAATAGCCGTCAAGATGACTGGGATGTCTTATTCCCTCCACTGTTGATGGCCTATAGGACAGCAGAGCATGAAACCACTGGATTCACTCCAGCAAAGTTGATGTTTGGTCGGGAACTTCGGTTGCCAGTGGATCTGTTAACAGGACGCCCACCTTATGAAGAGTTGCCTGAGAATGTGTCTGAGTTTGTGAAAGTGTTATCGGAAAGGATGGATGATATTCACCATCAAGTGCGTTCAAACTTGAAAACGTCTGCTGATTCGATGAAGTTAACTTTTGATAAGAGATCTACTGAAGTCAGCTTTGTACCAGGAGACAAGGTGTGGTTGTATAATCCCAGGAAGACCAAAGGGAAGTCTCCTAAGTTGTCTTTTCCATGGGAAGGCCCATATGACATAGTGGATCGTCTCTCGGACGTGACTTTCCGGATAAATATGGTCGGCGAGGTAAGTCAAAGGTGGTGCATGGCAAGAGGCTTTGGCGTTATCA